AAGAATGTTTTAAGATAACGATTTACTGATACAAGTCCTACTTATTAACCCATAGCTAGGGAGAAATAGGGTGGATTCATCCCTTTCCCAAGGCTATTTGTGCATAAGTGAATATAATGAACCCAACAGGAATTGGAATGCTCTTATTAAAAATTTCATAAGCCATTATACCACCAACACATCCAAACTTACAACACTTGGTATTCCCAAGCGGTCACCAATCTAGGTACTAACCAGGCTTGACATTACTTAACTTTGGTGACCGTTTTCTGGTGAGGAAGGCGGATACCCAGCAGGATTAAAGCTAGAAAATATTGGAGGGAGGGGGGAGATAAAAATGGTTTCATGATACAAGTCTAGCTAATTAACCTGTAGCTAGGGAGAGAAGTGATGGATTCATACTTTTCCCAAGGGTATTTGTGCATAAGTGAATATAATGAACCCAACAGGAATTGAAGCTCAGCTTCCTAATTTCCTATTCTGAGCCAATATTCATTACACCACCCACACATCCAAGCTTACAACACCTGGTATTCTCAATTGGTCACCTATCTAGGTATTGACCAGGCTTGACATTGCTTAGCTTTGGTGGTTGTACAAGAACTGGTGTTTCACTGTGAAATGGCTGTAAACCCATTTGTCCAAGAATTAAATTTTTGGAATGTGAAGGAGTTGATGATTAAGAAAAAAAAAAAAATCATCTTTCAATTGTACCAGATAAATTAGTTTTAACCATTTACACATTATTTAGACGGAATTTTGTGTCATTAGGTGAAAAATCATTATTATTTATATTTGCATTATTTACAAGTGGACTGTTGTCCCCATCTTTGTTGTTATCATGACAACAGTTCACATGTAAATAATAACTCCTCATTCCAGAAATTTTGACAGAATTTACTTATAATAAATAATTTGTAAATAAGTATTTTGTGCATCATTTGAAGAAATGAAATTCTAAATTCATTCTAAAAGTTGTTCATAATTATCAGTCTCATTCCTGTTGCTATCACATTTTGGCATAGCTGTTTTTTTTTTGTTTGTTTATTTATTTTTCTTTTTACTAGTGTTCACTTAATATAAGGCTCAAGAGCCACTCGAGGTAGAGAGTTAATGAAAGAGTTTGTTGGAGTGGTAAGAGTTAAGAGAATATTGGGCTTTAAAATCATACCTGACTTCAAGTGGAACTCAGACATATGAGCCATTGCTAAAGATGCAGGTAAAATGATTGTCTCCCTGTATAGCTCCAGTAAGTACCTGATTTCATTTTCTATCCTCTATCTTTGCAAAAGCCAGATCAGGCCAAAAAGGAGTACTTTTGTCATATTAGGATGGGTTGGGGTGGGGCATCTGCCCAGATCTTGAGAGTCTAAAAGTGTCTCAGAGTGACTAATTATTTTCCATCCTAAAACCTGTTTCTCACAACCTATCTTTCATGGAAAGTGCTTGGATGAACTACATTTCTTAGTTCCACCAGACCTGTCATGGCTAGGACCTGCCATGTCACTTACATTTTAGCAAACCACTCACATTCCTCCCTGTATTCCATTAGTAACAAGTTCCACTCGAAGTGCTTCTTTCCATAAAACATTGCTCTGTGGAACTGACTCCCAAGAGGATATTTCCCCCAATCACCACAATCTTAAAATGTTCAAGTCTAGGATTAACCGTTATGTTTCTCTCCTATGCATATAAACTGCCTCTTACTCTGTAACCCTCTACCTTAAGTGACCTTCAGGTCTTAAACAGAGTGAACCTTACTGTAAAAAAAAAAAAAAAAAAAAAAAAGGAAAAGAAAAAAGAGAGTAAACAGTTCATGAGTATATGTGGGAAAGTTTGGTTTGGTTTGTTTTACAGCATATCAACCTCAATGGGTCATTTAATGCCGACAACGTTTTTTTTTTTCCTGGTAATATTTTTGTTTTGTCAAAAATCTATTTCTGTTAATATTTTTTTTCCTTAAAATGGTATAGCTGGTAATAATATTTTTTCAAAAACGTATTATCAGAGGCCATGTGGGCATCTAATACAAAATATTCAAAGAAAGCTTCTTTTTTTTAATTGCATTCGATGACCTACAATTATTATTAAAATATTATGGAAATAGTCAAGTAATGAATATTGTTAGTAACCGAACTAATGAGCTTGTGTAAATGGTTGGCAGAACAGGGTTTAAGAGAAATAGCAAAAAGAACTGCAAAGGACAGGAAATTGTGGAGAGCCATGATCACCCACATCCTGCAGGGACATGGCAGATACAAAAAGAATAACTGAATAACTTTGACAATTTTCTTTTTGCTAAAGTTTTCAAAGTGCTCAAAAGATATTGTACAAGTTGATGTGATAGAAATGGGAGTTGCACATGTGGCAAGTGGAGCTTCATGCATAGAGAAATATTTTTTATTTTTCTTTCAATTGTTTTTTAAATTTTATTATTTTTCCATTATCTGTATTACCTTGATTTCTTATTAATTCTATATTGTCAGTTTTGTTGAGGAAATTGTATTTCACTGGTATTCTTTAAAGCAAAATGTGAATGATGTTTTGGCACAGAGAAGATAGTATTGAAACATTAGTCTACCAGATAAAAACTTTTCATAAAACCAGGGAAATATTTTTGATTCATTTTTTGAAGAAAAAATAAGAGGTGGAGGGTGTTTTCTATGCTATCAAATATGTTGCAAAAATAATTTAGATAACATTTTATCAATAGACATTCCTGAAGGGGCTTGGGCAATTTTTCTACAATATTGTTTTTAAACCCACTTTAAACTTTGACCATTCATCAGATTTGGTAGCATTGTGGTTGTACTGAAAATTGCCCTCATCAATGAACAGAGGTTTAATAATATACTTGGATAACTTAAGAGTAATTAAACCAAATTACTGAAGCTATACTCAACATTAAAAAGGGAGAGTTGCAGGTAGCATTCCTCCGTACTTTGTTTTCTTTTTGCATTTCTGATAAATTTTCTGTCATTTTCCCCCAAGTCTCCATATTGATGAGGTAGAAATTACCTATCAATAGAATTCAATTCAACAAATGCAGAATATATCAATATGGAGTTTGGATACAGCAAAATTTAAATGTATGAACCATATTTTCTTCATTTCCTAGTCTCTTCAGGAGGTAGTTAATCATGGCTCTCCACAACTTTCTTTAATATCTAATCTGTGTATTGACATGATTGTTTTTTTTTTTGGGGGGGTGATAAATTTTTTTCCTTCATCTACTCTCATGAATAATATAAAGGGTAAACATTTTTTTTGTAAATACGCTGATTAAAAACAAAATATCCTTAATTATATAAGTTATCTTAATTATGCCTATTCTTAATTATGACATTCAAGCTAAATAAATAAATCTTCATACATTATGAATATTTCTCGAAATAAAACCAATTTAAGGTGTTCAACAGGAAAAAGAGAAAGATTTGGTCATAAGTATATAAATGTTTTCAATAAGTACAACAAACCTTCATTTGTGTTTACGCAATGCACCAACTACTGTGCTATGGTCAGCATACTTGTCTTTTAAGCCATTAATGGTGAGTGATTCACACTGAGTGCATTAGAAAATTGGATTTCTGCCAAACTAGATTTACTGTCTGGAACAGTAAACCAATATTTTCAAAAAGGCATAAAAAGCAAATGCAAATCTTTGAGATTTGTCCTTTGACTCCATATAGTTTTTGCAAAAAGGTATCAAAAGTTTTAGATGTGAATTGTAAATGTACTGAAGAAAAAACAAGTTCCATAATATACTTGAAAATGTCAAATCTCAGAGGAAGTTTCAAGAAATTATCATTTAACTGAATAGTGAAATGATCAACAAACCTGGAGAAAAAATGGTTTCAAGAGTGCACAGAAAATGGCAAAGTAAGAATTGGCATATGATTCAGAGAACAACCAAAGATGCTTGTAAACTTGGAAAAACCCAGAAAGAGACATCAACAACTAGATCACTTGGTGATCAAGAAACAATTTAGGAAAATCATTTTGCATTGTAAAACCAAAATTCTGCCTGCACAAGTGATCATCTTCCACTTAAAAGCAAACATTATTTTTTTTTTTTTTCTAAAATGCCATGAGCTTACAGACACATCATACTGAAATGCCAGTTACTGTACAATCACCAAAGTTAAGCAACATCAAGCCTGGTCAGTACCTAGATGCGAGACTGCTTAGAAATGCCATGTGCTGTAAGTTTGGATGTTTGGATGAATAATAATAATAATAATTGTAATTGTTAATTGGAGAGCAGAGTTTCAATTCCTGTTGGGTTTGTTATATTCACTTACATGCAAATAACCTTGAGAAACATATGAATGCATATCTTCTCCCCTCAGCTAAGACTAAACCATTATTATCTCAAAATCTTACAATCTAAAAATATTTTCTGGCTTTAAATAACCTGCAAAGGGTTGATATAAGCCATAGAAAATGAATGAATGAGTCAATCTAAAATACTATGTGCCATTAGATCATGGGCAATCATGATTCTCCACAGCCTTCTTTTTATGTTTTATGTTTGAATTGGCATGATGTCTTGGTAATGGAGTAGTCGCCAAACCTCCACAGATTTTAATTCAGAGTCATCCATTTCCTAGAGTGGCTGTCAAACAAGTTGGGAAAGTCCAGTCTATCTTGTTATTTAACCCATAGGGAGGAAGAAGAGATGAAAGGTATTTGTGCCAAAGTGAATCCAACAGACTTAGCTTACCAACTATATTTGACATTTGATAAGATTGTAAGGGCCAATGACAGCAACAACAAAAGAAATCATCTCAAGCAAAGAAAGCCAAGAGGAAAGTAGATAAATGATAATAAATGAAATTTTCAGTTTAATGAAGGAAGAACGATAGATAAGGCCAAGAAAGGGTGAAGAAACAGAATTATCAGATTTTAAGAGATGAAATCTTCATAAAACAATTGCAATGTCATTTCATTAAAGAAATTCAAACAATATTTAACCATGTAATTCAATAAGTGTTACTTACAATATGTAAGTAATGACTCCAATACTCCACATATCGGTTGCCAGAGATAAGGGTTCATAACTCACAACTTCTGGAGCTGAAAAACAAAAAAACATAGGAATCAGAATAAAGAGGAAAAAAAAATCACAAGAGTTTATTAATTATTTAGAAAAATTGGAAATCAAATTGCAACTGATAATATTGTGTCATACAATTAAAAGTCAAAGTAGTTTTATTCTTGGACACAGGGTTACTTCTTCAGCTTTCAAATTTGATTCAAAAATAATTTCAGATGAAAATAAATTGAAGAAAAAGAAAAGTTTTCTTCATGGTAATAATAATGAAAATGGGGTTTAATATTTTGATTCCAAACCAAAAAAAGTAATGCCAAATGGTTTTATGATATGATTATTCATAAATTGTAAATATACGATCACACAAACATTTTTCAACACTAAGTTGAACTTTTATGGCTCGAGTTTCTAGCTAGAGATTAAAACTATGTAACATTATAAAAAATAAGAAAATGAAGTTAAGGAAAAAGAAGAAAAACTTTAAAAGAGAAACTATAAAAACATTTCAGAAAAAGGTTTATTGTTATTAAACTCTTATTTAAAAATACCAAAATATATTTCATTTAGAAAAGTTTGGTTTATGATTGCTTAGATAAAAATTAAAGAAAAGAAAGAAAAATGACAAGTTGAACAAGCATCCCATTAAAATAACATTATAAAAATATAAAAATATTTATCTGCATTTCCTTGCTAAAAATATGAAAAGCTACATTCAAAATATGGGTTATCTTGATAAGTGTCAAAGAAATAGACGTTAAAAAAAAAAAAAAAAAAAAAAAAAAAGCTGCAGGATAAAGGGAGGTAATTTCTCCAGAAAATACTTGTATATAATGTGTATTACTTGGTTTCATAAATATTGTATCTAATTTACAGAACAGAATTTCTGTCAAAAAGCTTAGTTTCAATATATTAATATTTTATTACAACTGACAGTGAATAAAGCAGATGATAAATAATCCCAAAACAAAAATGTTGTTATATCCCTTCTTTGCTAATATCCTGTTAACTTCTGTAACAAAATGATAAAAATAACAAAATGCTGGGTTTATACTTTTCTCCACTGATACATTATAAGCAAAGCAAAGCTTAAGGCCATGGTCTTTTCAGTTTATTTGAACATTCTAGTTTTTATGGATGCTATTGTAATTTTCAAGTTTACAGAAAGGTTTCATTAGCAAATCTGAATGAAATAATTGCAATTATTCTTTTATCCTCATTAAATGAAATGGATGTTATTTTGGGAGACCTATTCATCCATATCTCTCTTTCTCTCTCTCTCTATATATATATATATATATATATATATATATATATATATATAATACACACAAGGTGTAACAGCAAAATTGTCTAATTGTTAGATTAAGCTCTGAACCATTGTATCTTAGAAATGATTAAAGGTATCTTATTGGAATTCTCCAAGGTTTTTATAACACTATTGGACTCTACTTTAAGCAATAAGAATGTATAATTACTCTCTAAGTTTAACAGAAGAATCGTGATGAAATTAATCATAAATGAAAATGACATGTTCATCATTAACTAATCATAACTAAGGATCGGAAGCTCATGAAGGATTGAAAGTATTAAAGTTCATATATATATTATTCCTGGATCATTTCCCAACTTATTCAAGATAATCTTTGCCCTCTCTAATCTTCTAACTTTCTGTCCTGGATTAACAAGGTGCTTCACAGTTTCATTTTCAAGTCTTTTTTTCACTGCTCTTTGGACTATCATAGCTGAAACACCTGTCAATTGCCATATATCTTATGAATTGAGTTGAATCTTTGAAATGATGATCCCTCTTCCAGTTGTGACCTCCTGATCCGGTTTTCCTTTCTACTGTTCCATCTTTTTTTAAACTTATTCACCATTCTCTTGATGGTACTTGAATGAACTTTGAAGATAGAAGGAAGAGTATGAATGTTGGTACCATTACTGTAGGCCTGAATGATCTTTTTCCTTTCACCATTGCTCAGTTGAGAAGACTGGATCTGACACAATGATTTTAACATGTTCTCTTTTTAGCTGAATAATTCAAAGGGTTTTTCAGTGATTCTTACGAAAAATGATGTTAAGATGGCTAAACGTCTTATCTGAAAACTTGAAATAGATAAAAAGAAACTCATTTTAATGTTTTTAGATATTTTAAACTTATCAATGCATTTGTAAAGAGAACTGAAAAGTAAAAATAGAAGTAGAGTGAATAAAAGAAAATTCCAATTTAGTTTTGCTATTAATAGAGTATCGTCTTCCTTGTGTCAAAAATCAATGATATACAAGTGAAATAGTCAGAGTTTACCAACTGGACTTTTTATTCTCTTTTATAAACAGTACAAGGAGGAGGAAGAGGAGGACAGTTATAAAGAAGGAACCATTTTTACAGAAAAAGGGTAGTTTTTCTGAGTCATTATCATTCTTCTTTATGTACAATTTAGTGATGGAACAATTAATCAAAATTAAGAATTGGAAATATCGGAACTTTTTGGGGGTACTGGAATTGGCATTAGAATCAGAGAATTTTTAACTTAATTTCCAGTCCCAAAAATGATTCTTCAGATTTTTTTTGTTTAAAACTTAATTTTCCATTCTTGGTACTACTAATAAAAATATATAAATATGTATTGATTTTAAATTATCAGTAAAACTAAAATCTATAGATCATAATAACATCTAAGTATAATGTAATTTTATTCTGTGTAAAAAAAAAAAAAAAAAAAGACAAAAAAAATGAAATTTGCATGTTTCTACTCAGTTCTCAAACTTTCCATGAAATTAAATAAAAATAATCAAAATTAAGTAATATAAACATAAAATGAATTTATGTTTTTCTGTTGGGCTCTCTTAAGACAATTTTTATTATTTTCTTTTTAATTTATGAAAAAAGAAAAAAAATGTCTCTATTTAAACCTAGAAAAAAAAAAATTAGAATCTTATTATATAAAATTTTATTTGAAACTTCAAATTTTCAATTATTCTTAAGTTGAAATTAAGAATACAATTCCATATAAGGCGTTTTGATCATCACTTAATCCAAAGGATCATATCAGGGTGATGGTAAGCATTTATATTTCCATTGGTGGAAATAAAATAGGGAGTTACTTTTCAATCACCCTGTATATTGCATTAAAAAATATAAAAAGTGATGATAATGTTTTTTGGTGGTGAAATTCAAAATAAAAATGAATTTTTGATCATGGTGCTTTTAGCCAGGAAATATCTATCAGCACCTCCCTCTTCTGTTGAAAGTGAACAATTATTTAGAATTGCAGGTAACATTTATTTATCAAAAAGAAATCAGCAGAAAGGTGAAACAGGAGAGATGATAATGTTCTTACATTATAATTTAAGAGGTTTAGGATATAAATATGAGTAGCTAGGTACTTAAGTGATTTACTTAAAGAAATTGTTCTCTTTATTGTTTAAACTCTTACCCAATTTTTAAAAAAAAAAAGAATCTCTAACTTTATTTCAAACTTTTGTATTCATTTTTCTACTAAATGTTTTATTAATAAATGTACTTTGTTCATGAAGTTTCCAAAACCAACTGTAGGGCCTGAAAATAATGAATTTTAATCATTGTAGGTATCAGAATTGGAAATCCTAATGGAATCAGAAATTTAGAATAGTGTTGGGAATTGTATTGAAATCAGTAAAAATATTGACATTGTTCCATCAATTACTTTATTATATAGAAATTATTTTTTTCTATTCAAATCTAAACATTAGGAAGTGTAAATAATTTGATTAGAGAAGAGAAGCCATATTTTTTTAAAATGGTTTTTACAGTTTATAAAGAAGGTACTGCAAATAATTGAACATGTCAACATTGGTTTGCCAGGTTGTGAGTTGGAGATTTCTCATTGAACGAGTCATACCAGTTGAGATTCGATATAAAGCAAAGTTTTAACTTCTACATGGGTTGAAAAAAGAAAAAAAAATGAAGATAAAGCTGAAGAAATGAGAAACAATTTTGTTTGATATTCTGTGTTTGACGTCATTTCAGGCAATTCTGTGTTTGACGTCATTTCAGGCAATTTACTTGGGGTTGCTCATCTCTAAGTACCACAAACAGCAAATAGTAAAAGGTTACTAGCAACAAATAAAAGATAATAGCATTAACAAAGAAGAATCCTTAATCTGATTACAAACTGTCTACTGTTGTGGTATGTCAGTGACAAGACCAAAATGAAAACTGCCAATAATACAGAAAGAGCTGGATGGATGTCTTTTTTTTTTTTTTAAAAAGAATTTAACTGGTGATAATGGTAATATTAACAATTTTCTTATAGGGGAACATTTTGCATTCATTAAGCAGTAGGTACTACTCTGTTAAAATTTACAAAATCGTTCTCTTAAAATCATTTTTCAGGAAAATAAATTTCTCAAGCCCAGTTAGTTGTTATTGATCTTTCCAGTATTGATGTGGGTTTCCTTTCTTGCCTTTTGTTTGCGGTAATGTAGAATGTCAGCATCTTCATTATGTCATTCTCTCTGAATTACATGTGCTATTCAATTTAGTTGTTGCTGGTGTTGAAAGTCCTCAAGTAATGTGGTTTCTCTTATCTGGTATAGTTCTTTGTGATTCTATAATGCCATAAGGTTCGAGGAATGATGGTCCTTGCTGATACCTACATGCTTTACTTGCACAAGGTCATTTTTAATAATCTTAGTTGAAACTGAACTGTTTTGAAATTCCATCAGTCTTTAATTCAATAATATTATGAAATATGAAGCCCCCCCCCAAAAAAAAAATGTAAAACTTTTCAAAATGTTCAATTTCTGTTTAAGTCTTTTTGATGAGGAATTATTATACATTAGTATATTCAGATAAGTATCCTCATCTTGGTTGTTTTGTTTCAGCTGCTGTATTCTATAGGACAGTGGATAAAAATCATTGGTTAATTGCATCAATTTAAATAGCAGTGAGCAGGAAGTTCAATTTTTGGGTTAGGCAAAGCAATTTACTCTGGTTGAGTGAAAAAAGTGGAATCAGAAAGAGAAATTAAAGAGGAACAAT